CTCGTCCTTCGCAAGGCAATCAGCCATGGTACGGTATATACGCTCAGCACTCAATGTTATGCAGAGCTGTCTGATGATGAGGTTACCACGAGTTTCGAGGAGTCGGCGGTCTGTACAGAACAGCTTCAGGAGATTAACCATGAATGAAGTGAAGTAGGTATCATCGCTGTGCAGTGAGATCTGTGATAGAAGAAGCAAGTCGCGCGTAACGACTGCATCTGAAGGGTCCGAAAGCGTCTTCAGCAATGCAGGGAATGTGCCGTCGTCCACTGTCAGTATCTTGAGATTGTTAGCAATTGCCTTATTGCCAGCATGTTTACACTCACTCTGCCAGGTGCCATTCTATGGAGCATTATCAGCCATGCTATGGCCGCAACGCGAGTGGCTTCGTGTTCATTCAAGAACTGCAGCGTCAAAGCGCTGACAGCAGCTTGGTAGTCCAGCTCTGGTATTGGACGCGGGGATGGGCCTCGCTCCTCTGCTGGTGTGGGCGATCGCGTACCCTTGCCATCTGGCGATTCAGCCTTGTTTGCTTGATCGCGGATGACTGCCTTGAGCAATCGGCCAGATAGATTAGAATCGCGCCGCTGCGTGCCGGTGAGCTCTTTACCTAGCTCAGATAGGGAAGGCGGTAGCTGAATCTGTCCACCTGCAGCACCATCGCGGGGGCGGTCATCGTCAGATAATGACAGTATATAGTCCATCAACGAGGCGTTGACCTTGACTGCAGCTTTGCGAACGGTGTCGACGTCGTGCGACATGCGCGGCAGGACGTGCGACAATAGACTGGGAACAAACGGCATGATGTCCTCTGGGCAAATGTCGAAGAAGTTGTCTATCCAGCGGAGTGCCGTGAGCAGTATTTCAGTCTGCTCTTCTTCTGTGCCTACACCAGTCAGCTTCGATCCTTGTATAGAGTATTTGTTAAACCCACCTGATGGGGGCACCAGGAAGTCGACTAGAATCTCAAGGATCTTGGGATGGTCTACGTGCACATCCTGGCCAGGTATCCAGTTTCCGTCGCCGTTGACAGACTTTCCGCTGTCGCCAGAGATGGAGCCGCTCTCTCCGCTTGCCTCGCCCTTGTCGTTGATCGAATCGTCCAGCTCGAGAGGGGTGCTGTCTGTCGCTTCGCTGCCACTATGGATGCTACCCGTAGAGTTCCTGCGATCGTCCTTGCCGTTGCTCCTCTTGCTTTCTGCTATGCCCTTCTTGATGCGGGCGATTTTCTTGATCTCGCTTAAGAACCTGTCCAATGCCGCCTGCGTCATGGTGTATACATCTTGGTTGGTGTCGCTCAGGAATCTGAAGAGGCCACCGAGGAAGCGAGGGAGGTGAGCGATGAGCTCGAGGTCGGGTATGGAGTCGAGTAGTGTGATCCATGCTACCAGGAAGGAACGTGTGAACGGATTAAGGACATAGATGCGTTCTTCGAGGAGGGGCAGGAAGCGTTCGAGGTTGAAAGCGAATGGGTGGGGCTCGTCTTCGGGGTCTTCTTGGTCGGGCATGTCGTGTAGGACAGATACGTAGCTGGCAGCCGACTCGGAGACGATGTCCTTGATTAGACGGTCGAGCAGTTCTGCGCCGTTCTTGACTGAGAGCTCCGAATCTGCAGCCATCTGGACGGTCCGGGCCGTGTTAGCCTTGTCTCACCAGTTGCAGGAGGCATTATGGGTCTTCTCACCTTGCACAGGGCATCGAAGACCTGGTTAAAGTATACGAGTATCTCGCCCTTGGCGACCTTTGCGATGTTGTACATGCTCTCGCACGCATAGTACCTGACGCGGGCATCTTGATCGCTGAAGCACGCGAGGACCGGGGGCACGATTTCTTCGAGATAGCGAGCGACTTCCTGGCGAAATGTTAGTAGGGATATCAAGCTGTGTATCAGATATGTCTACGCACCGGGCCCAGGGCTATCGAGGCGGCAGCCAGCCCTATCAGGCCGCCGTTGCGGGCGTGGGGCTGGTGGACGGCATAGGCGTACTCCTGGCACAGCTGGCGCACGATGCGGGCTATCCTGTCGTGGTCCTGGGCGGCGAGGGCGTCGCGGATGAGGCCTTCGAGCTCGAGCGCGCCGCTCTTGCGCTTGTCGTAGAGCTTGTCGTTGAGGGCTTTAGTGATATTGACGTCCATGGTGAGGTCGCGGGCAGGACAAGTCTACATGGTGCAGCGGCTAGCCTATCGCATCTTGGAGTAACAGCGTGCGGGGTATCGGGAGCGTCGTGAAGCAGGGCGAGGAGGAACGTGCAGCCCTTCACGGTGTAAACCACGATGCTCGAGCCGACGGGGTCACGACAGGGATCTGCGCTTTTAACGGAAGGCACACACGTCATCGTGCCTTCCTACACAACCGCCTATCCTTGTCACTAGCACCCGCCGATAAACGAGACATTTCCAAAAGCAACCCCGAGCAGATGCCCAAGGCATGTCTCGACGACTGCCCTCTGCCCATTCTCACGACCCCCAGTGTCATGGCGATTGGCAGCTCCCCTTTCCGCTAGGCGCTTAGTCTTCCAAGTCACTCGCTCGCTCTGACCAACACCCTTCGCCGTCATCGCCGCCTCACATCACCCTTGGGTTCACCTGCCCCTGTCAGGTGCGACCAGCGTCGACATGGAAAAGTTCAAGAATAAATTCCTGAACGCCCACCGTCGCTCGCGGCGAGAGGATGACATGGAGAAACTGAGGGAGCCCAAGGTCTCGCCCATCGCGACAGGCGGGTTCAAGCACTGGGCCGTGGCTTTGTAAGTCTTGTTCGTCTCCCGAGTGACGAGTACTTACATCAGCAGCATAGTCTGCAACTTCAATGTTGATATCGGGTAGGTTATCCGAATGCCATGTCTTCGGAGAGTAATGTATTGAGTTTGTAGCCCAGAAATCGAGATTCTATACCCTCCAGATGTGCCCTTTACGACGGCCGACCTGAGTGCTATATGCTTCAACAGGTACATTCGTCCGCCAGTTCCGAGTGGTACAATCTAAGTCGCATCTAGTTTTCCTGAGCAACAGAACACAGAGACCGCCGAAGACCTCTGTTACGACTTCGCCATCACCAACAACTCGCCCGACATCAAACTGACTTCGCCAAATGCCCCTCATGGCAGCCCAGACACCCTCTACGGCTCGTGTATCTTCCGCCAAGAGTTTGACGATACGATGAAGAGGAGTTTCAATCAAAGAACACTGGTCATGATTTCCCACCACAACTTCACTTCCTTCCATCATCGCATCTTACAGAAGATGACAGAGTCCGGACCCCTCAGCGACCCAACGACTTTAGAAGCTGCATTCTCACAGATGAACACATGGGCGCCCCCAGCACTCGGACGTCACGATCTCCCCTTCATGGGCAGCATGTTAACTTTGGACATCGCACCACATCGCGCCTTCCCTCTCCAAGGACTCCCAGGACCCACGCCACTAATCTCCGACATACCCCTCTCCATCTACGCCTACGAACCCGTCGGCTCCTGGGACAACATCATGCACTACATGCCCTGCATCACGGACCTCTACGTGCTCTACGAGAAACTCATCCTTTGTGAAAGCGTCATCGTCATCGCAAAGTCCCCCCAACTAGCCAGCGAAGCCGTCTCCTCCCTCGTCGACCTCATCTGCCCCGTACCCTATGCCGGCGTAGTGAAACCCTACATGACCATGCAAGCCAACTTCAAAAGCATCGGCATCGACGGCGGCACCCCAACCTCCTTCATCATCGGCGTCACAAACCCCTTCTTACTCAAACGCATCGTCGCCGCCGCAGAAGCCAGCCACAAAGCGCGGCCACACATTTTGTATCTGCAAAATTTCGACGGCCCCGTCCCAACACGCCGCCACCACTCCCTCCACCACAAATCCAGCCGCAACGCCCTCCTCGACCTCCCCGGCGGCGGCATCGAAGTCCACACGCCCTCCAAACGCTTCCTAAAATCAGACCCTGCAGTCGTATCGCAAATCGAATCCCTACTCAAACTCGGCGACCAAACCCGCGAGCTAGGCCCCATAATCCGGCGCCACTTTGCGGAGCTCACCGCACAGTTCATCGCGCCCATAAACCGCTACCTCGCTACCTCCAACGTCGTTACGCCCGGTGGCGCAAACCGGTACGCCAGTTTCCACGTCCCGGACCTGATGAGCAGTGTGAGCAAGTATGGGACGAGTGTCAAGTTTCGCGGGTCGAACCCGCTGCAGAGACATAGGGCAAGGGATGGGCTTTATGAGAGTTTTTGCAAGAGCGCGAGTTTTTATAGTTGGTTGGAGATGAAGATTAGTTTGGAGAATGAGGCTAGTGCGGGGATGTTGAATACGCCTGTTGCTTCTTCTGCTGGTAGTGGGTGAGATGGGCGTCAATGGGATGAGATGGGTTGGGAAGGGCAGTGGTGTGTAATTTTGGAAGGTGGACTGGGGCTGGAGGGAAGGTTGTAATTCGCAAGATACCACGAGATATAGAGATTACAGAATGTCTGTTTGATGGGAATGCATGTTCAATATTTACTTTGTACAGGCGTGTCATGTGAAGAGAAATGACACATTCTTATGCTTACTTTCCAATGCAAGACAAACAACATCGATACCCACATACAGGATATTTATGTTGTTCAAAGTCGCAACTAGACTGACGCTTGAAACTCAACGCGAGGTATGTAGGCCATGTGTTTTCTCAAACCCGTCCTTGAGCAACGTCTCCGCGCGGATCTTCCTTTTCCATTGCAATTCTCCTCGCCGATTCACATCCATCTTTACCCAGAGACCACCCAGTTGTCAGCTTAATTTTCAAAGCCAGTCACGTCTCTCAACCATCCTGTCCAGTAATTCCAGAGACTGCTGCAACTTCCAAATCCTCCAGCGTCAGAGTTCATAAGGAGAGCCGACAGTCTCATACGCTGCAAAGCAAGAACGTCGTCCTTCACTATAGCCCCCTCCTTTTGAAACCTTGAGTCATAAGGTATCATGATCGCATTTAGCATGTCGATGTAAGCGCTTGCGGGAGGACGATATTAACCATTGAGGTTCTCGACACGAATTGTTTGCCTGGGAGAAAGATCGGCGCCCCAACTAGGCTGGTCAGGTACGGGGGAACTTGAAGACTGGTCGACGACGGGGACGCTTCGATGTCTAATAGATTCGCCTTTCAAACGCAAACCATTTCCATGTGACGTGGAGATGATCAGACCCAACATGCAGTCATCCAGGTACTCCACAATGATGACTGGATAGGATTTGGCGCAGATGTAACCGAACTCAGTGTGGATGTCGGAGGAAGACACCGACAACGAGGGGCGCAGAACAGGAAACCAGCCGATGTCACCGATACTGAAATTGTCCTGGGGGACGGGCTTGACATCTGCATATTGTTCCAGGTGGGGACACAGTGTAAGGCTCGACAGTCTCTCGTCCAACTTGACGACAGCGGTCTTGGTTTTGGGCCTTGAGGCTACAGCGCCAGAAGCTGTGCCCATCTCTGTATTTCTGGCGGCGGCTTCCACTCGGGCAGTTATATCCGAGACCCTGACCTGCGTAGCGGTGACTGCGACGTTTGTTGGTGCGGGAGCAGTAGTGACTGCGATGTTTGCAGATTCGGGTGTAACAGCGACTGCGACAGGCGCGCGCACAGGGGCCCATCTGCCAAAACCAGGCATTGTGAGATGACTCTTTGCTGCGCGATTCGCCGCCGTCATCTTCCTATATGCTCTTGCTGAAAGGTAATCGTACTCGCGATTGCATCTTCGAATCCTTTCTGTGTTGTCTATGATGTCCTCTTGGATCTCCTCGATCGCTTGGTCGTCCATCGTCGCTTCGCGCCTTGAGTAAGATCGGAGCTGCTCATGTCGTTCCTTAGATCGCTGCTTCTGGTGAAGCTCTTCCTCCAAACGAATTCGTCTCTTGTCGATGTGTCTCCACGTCCGTATGTTGGCACATAGATCATCCCAGGCGTCCCTCTCTGCAGAGGTCACTCGCGTCAGTTCTGAAACTGAGATTGCCGGTACGTAGGAATCTTCGAGAAGATGTCGACCATGGTGCCTCGACGCAATACGCAAATACTGATCCTCCAATGCTTTCAGGCTTGCCTTACCCCGCTGAAGTCTTTCATTGAGAATTAAATTCCACTCGTCTCCAACCGTGTCGTGTAGTCGCGCCGCCGCCTCCTCGTAATCAGCGACCACTATTATTTTACTCTCTATTTCCCGCTCCAGATCTAGTAGATTTTTTGATGTTCGCGACATCGTGGGATGATCTGATACACGGCTGTAAGAGGTGTATCTCGTCGCGGAAATCGTATCGTGTGAGGGGATGGCTTTCGAATTGGTAGGCTAGCCGCCTTGGAACGAAAACAACGGCGTGGTGCGATGAGAGACGGAAGGTTTTTCCAAAAGCCCGTTTAGTGTGCGAGAGTATTTGCGCAAACGGCGCCTCGCTTGGCGAAGCAGCTTTCACTTTCGTGACAGTGTACCGCGACTGTACCGCTTTCTGATAAAGAGATGTCGAATACAGAACGCATAGCAGCAGTACTATCAGAAGTTCATGGGCCATCATTGCCCTCTCTAAGACACCGGACAGATATCGCCAGCACACTCTTTCATCGCCGCCAGCCTCACCTCTCACCCCCCTCCTCTCACCTCATCCTCCCATTATCCAATTACCATCCTACAAACACCCCTCAATAGCCCTCCTCACCTCCTTCGGCTTCGCCCCGGTAACCCCCTCCATAATATCCCCATCCTTAAACACACTAAACGTCGGCATACTCCTAACCCCCAGCTCCTGCGCAATATCCTCACACTCCTCCACATCATACGTATAAAACTTGACATTTGGGTACTCAGCCACCATCTTTGCGACTTCAGGGGCGACGATGTGGCAGTTCTTGCACCAGGTGGCTGTGCCTTCGAGGATGGTGACGCCTTCGTACATGACGGCTTTGAGGTACTCGGCTTTGGTGTGGAGGGTTGGTATGGAGGGGGTGGTGGAGGGGGTTGAGGATGTCATGATTGGGGAGTGTGAGGTGGTACCTGGGGAGGTATGAGATGGGAGGTCGAGTCAAGATGGGTGTTTGGTGTTGTTGATGGATGTTTGGTGAGGCTGCAGGGCTGGGGTGGACATGTGTGGGGAAGGAGACGATGATGTTGATGACGTCATCGCTTTCCGCGTGGAAAGAACGCCGACGCGATGGTCCATCGTCTCGTTCTCATGCCGCTTTTCACGCATGCGATAGCCGACTATGAGCTTCGATTCCTTAGTTGCGCCTGAAAGCATACTTGTACAGTACGATGGAGCACACGAATAAGCTGTACATTACTCATGCAGCATTCAGGCGCGCGCATCATTGACGTTGAAAGACATTATATTCTTATTTCAATATGGTATCATAACTTCATCTCTCCCCAAACAAGGCAGTAGAGAGTTCCCTACTCGCCCTTACCCTGCTTTCCATAGAAAGCGTCCTCACCACCAAGTGCCTTGAGTGCCTCAGCAGACTTCTTCTTGGACTCTTCGCTAGTGTCTGCATCACGCGTTAGTCTCTCATCTCATCAAACACGCAGCTAGGTATCTCAGGGAATGCGTACTGGGGTTGCTCAAGTTTGCCTTGTGACCCGAAGCCTTGTTGCTGATATCCTCGGTGGTGTTGTTGATATTCTGGTCCGCCTCGCTGAGACCGGGGGCGGTGATGCCCTGGTGGGAAACTCCTTGGCCGGACATGTTTGATGGTGGTTTGGTGTAAAGTGTGATTTGGTCGTGGGTAGGTGATTCGGGTAGATAGATTTGGTGTGTGATGAGTGATTGATAATGTATGGTCCCTCCTAGACACCAGCACCCAGCCTTATATACCCATGACATACACACAGCCAGCCTGTTGCAGTACCTCCACATTACGTCTTCAGCGTCATCTGTCCGCTGGACCACCTATGTCATACCTGTCTTGGCATGAACCTATCTTCTCCACCCAACCCAGGTACAGCCGTGCCGGCGTAGCCACCAGTATACGCTAGGGGAGCCGAGACCCGATCGTGTGTGGTATCTGTCTCATCTCACCAACGTACCCATAGTTTCCGATATTGAATAGAGCGGAAACATGTTATCGGTGTTTGCACTTGTTGTGCAGATGTGGGAGTGTAATGACCGCATCGCGTGGTGGTTGTCGATCATCGTAAAGGTGGTCGGGAGAAACGGCTCTATCGGCCCTTCTCGATGGCAAGGCGCAGGCGCGTCACGATGCCACTCGGAACATCAACCATTGCCATTGCTGATTTCATGCATGAGTTTTGGGTAGGGTATTCCTGTTGTATTACATGCGGTACATAAGTCCGTGTTTCTATCGTCAAGTCAACGTCTGGTCTCCGTTCTATTCATCTACATCAAACCTATCGCAATCATACCGTATACCAAAGTACCATCTCAATGACCTGCCCGAAGGACAAGACCGCAGTCTGAGTCGAAGGCGCACCCTATTCATTATGTCCATCTACCGGGGAAGAACAACGATTACCTAGGTATGAAGGAGCAGGGATTGAGACTTGTGCCCGACTAGCAAACATTTTACGAGGTTCATTGTGACGCCCCTTTAAAGAAAGAGATTAGGTAGAAGATGTAGCTAACAGGCTGTCGCAAACATTTTACGCAACGCAGGCTTCCAATGCCCATACCTACTCGTAACCGAATCACCTTGTCACACAGCCCCCCTCAAGGGGCTTCAATCCCGACTAGAAGAGCATCACGAAGCCTTAGCAAGTACAGAGGAACATGCGGTGAAATTTCGTGCGATTGCGGCACCTCTAATATCGTAACGAACTCTCGCTTCCCTCTCACACCAAGACATTCTTCTTCTTACGACATCTATCCTCTATCTCACAATTCACTATGCCCCTCCCTCTCAGCCTCAGCATCCTTCTCCTCCTTCTCCCTCCTCTGCTCCTCCTCCTGCACATCCACCACCCCCGCCTTCTCCTCCTCCCCCTTCACGCGTCTAGCCAACCCCGCAATCTCCCCATCATAAACATTCCACTCCGGCACCTGCCTGCGCGCCCTCTCCAACTTCGGCTCCTTAGTCTGCGGATTATTACAAAGATCAATCGTCTTCGCCTTGTGCAAATCCTCATCACTACACCAAGTCTCGCACCACAGCCACTCCTGGGGTAAACTGTGGATGGGGAGGTTAAACTGCATGTTATTGGGTAGGTCTTGGTCGAGGTTAGAGAGGGAATTGGGGTCCGCGGAGAGGGCGTGGTATTGCTGGCGGAGGCGGTCGCCGGCGGCGAGTTGGCGGAAGCGGGTTAAGTCTACGACGTACAGCGCGGAAATGTGGTAGGGGCGGCCACGCAGAAAGTTGGCCCAATAGCCTGTTTTCCAGAAACGGAAGCCTTCCATTTCGGTGCGCGAGTCGCCCATGGGTGTGAAACCGTAAGGGGCGCCTTCTAGGTCGTGTTGCACGAGTTCGTACATGTCTGTTCGCACGATTTGGTCGGCGTCGACGAAGATGACTTTTTCGAGGTCGAGCGGGAAGAGGACGTCTAGGAAGAGGATTTTGTAGCCCCAGATTTCGCGCTGTTTTTCGGTTTGGCCGCGCAGCCAGTGTGGCCATTTGTAGGTGACCATTTCGTATTCGAAACCGTATTCGGCGGCGATGTGCGGGAGGAAGGATTTGAAGCTGGGGGACAGGAATTGCTCGATGAACCAGAATTTGACGGTGTGTTTGGTGTGCTTCATGACGGATACCATCATGATGTTCAGCATGCGCTCGTATAAGTGGCCCGAAGCGACGGAGAAGATGTTTATGTCTGCCTGCGTGCCCTTCTTCGCCGCTTTGCTTCCGGAGAACAGGTCAGCGCCCTTTTGCAGAACCTTCTCGGAGTCAAAGTTTAGACCAATCTTGCCGAGGAACTTGTTGACCTTCTGCGCGCTCTTGCCAACAAGCTCGGATGCGAGCGATTCTTCAGGAGCGAGTACATCGGTTTCCTCGTGGCCTGGCTTGCGCGATAGTCGCGGGAAGATTGTAGCCCCCTGGAAGCTCATGAGAGCAATCTCGGTAGTCTCGTCACCAGGCACGGGTGCCCAGCTGATAGGGCCTGCACTATCAAGGCTGAAAACTTCCTGAGAGCGACCGCTCTTGAGCTGAATGTTGTAAAAGCCAGGAGTGGCCTTGAACTGGAAGTAACCGAGATTAGCCATGATGATGGTATCCGCGAAATGAGGATCCCGCTCAGTGGCAAGAACAACTTCAGCACCACGCGGCGGCTGACCACCATTCGTAGTGTCACGAGAGTGGCCCTCGATAAGGATGTTCTCCAATTCATAGACAGCGGTAACATCGGTACCAGCAGGAATGGTACTAAGTTTGATGTTGTCGAGATCATATACAGACTCCTTCGGGGCAACTAGCCAGGAGGGCGGCACATCCATGCCAAGGTTCAGCAAAGCCTCCTTGGGAATGCCATAGAAGTGGGTTCCAAGGCTTCCGATGGATCCATCGGCGACAAAGGATGGTCGAGCTTCGAGGACGTATCTGTAGAAACGCTTGACAGGAAGCTCTTGAAGCATCTGCTTGGGGTTGAGGAAAAGCTTGAGGTGTGTGCCCTCCATGTCGCTGAGTACTTTAAGGATTGGTACCCACTTCTGTGCGAGCTCTGTCGCGGGGTCAATTGAGGCCACGATCTGGAAGACAGCGTTGTTTTCGTCACCCCGGAAGATAGCGGTGTGCTTGGCAGTCCAGTTGTTGTAAGTGCTCATCCTCAGGGTTGATGCAGTCTCGAAAATGCCTTCTGGAACGTCCGACACGGTGGAAAGTGCGACCAGCGACTGGATCTTCGCAACATCTATTGGAGATTTGATCTTTTCCATGAGTTCAAGATCGGCAAGCGCTTTGTTCAACGGCTCAATGCGTTTGACCTGCTCATAAGTGACAAAAGTTTCCACGTCATCGTATGAGAATCCGTAATCATCTGGGATGGGTCCCACGTAGCGTCCGTTGACAAGCATGCCGTTCTGTCCCGGTTTCAGACCGAACGCGTCGTAGATTGGCTCAGCAACCTGCCAGAATAGAGTGGAGTTGGCGGGAGTTGGTCTGTAGTTGGCATTCCGGTTCATGATCCCGGAGAGGGCTTCGGTAGTAAGCTTACGGTCAGATTTGATGTAAGTCTCTAGAATGTCTTCTGAGGCGTTCGACTGCTCCGCACCGGCTTTCGGATTGTGTATAAGAACGGCCTCTACGTTGGGGTTTGCCTCACGGAAATCTGCCAGTGCTTTCAGAAGAGCAAAACCAGCCTCCGAGTCGAAATCCGCCACGAGCGTGACGTGAATCCAGTCACTCTTGCTAGCAGACTCTGATGCATGAATACGCGGCATCTTGTTATAAGCCTCGCCATGGGTCTCTTCAAATTCAGCCATATTAATGAGCGTGATGTTCTTCTCGTTCTCCGGGATGACAAGAGGATTGCGCTTAGCAGCAGCTGAGGCCAAGAAATGTTGTGGAACCCAACTATCGCTGTTGAAATTACCGTTGAAGACTGCTTGTTGAATCTGACGAAGATCCATGCCGACTCTTTGGCTGAGTGTTCCGAGCCATTCTTCGGTCGCTGGAATGGGTACGCCGTTGACAAAGACGGGGGCTTTGGGGCCTTCTGCTGCTAGACGCTTCAGGTACTGTTTGGCACCTGTGATGCGCTGATCCAGCGTCTCTGACTTCAGTACGTCATCAAAGGCCAAAGCCTCCTTTCCCTCGAGGAGCGCGGTTTTCTTGACTGTCGCGTCGAAGGTGGCTTGATCTGCGTGTGCCAACTTCTTGCCATCCGCCAACTGTTTCGCGTCAGCGCAACATACGACTTCGTAAGAGGTTTCAACACTTACTACTTGAAGGTATTCAATCACAGCAGGCAGTCCATACGCGTCTTGCAGATGGTAAACTACCTTGGCCTGCTCAAGAGCACCAGTTGTAGCGGTCTGAGGAACGATACCCCAGCGCAGTGGAATACCACGCCTGATGAGACTGAGGATAG